TTTATACTGATAACTTTCCTATACTAATAATCACATATTTTAAAAAGAGTCAAACCTAATTCAATTTATTGCATTAAAAATTTATTACAAACATTTATTCTGCATCCTACTTTGGTGAGTGGTGTATGGGGTCTTAAAAGCTTGCAAGCATCCATCTAAGATGCATCAGTTGGTCCCAACCACCTGGAGTAAAGGAGAATGAAGGACACCAAAGACACAAGGAAAGTATTAGCCCAAGAGACAGAAAGAGCCACATAAACCAGAGACTCCATCAACCTGAGACCAGAAGAACTAGATGCTGCCTGGCTACCACCAATGACCGCCCTGACAGGGAACACAACAGAGAGTCCCTGATGAAGCAGGAGAAAGGTGGGGTGCAGAACTCAAATTTTAGTAAGAAGACCAGACTTAATGGTCTGAGACTGGAGGAACCCCTGAAAGCATGGCCCCTGGATTCTCTATCAGCCCAGAACTAAAACAATTTCCGAGGCCAACTCTTCAGACAGGGATCGGACTGGACTGTGGGACATAAAGTGATACTAGTGAGGAGTGTGCCTCTTAGCTCAGGTGGTACAAGAGACTAAACGGGCAGCTTCTGTCCGGAGGTGAGATGGGAAGGCAGAGAAGGTTAGGAGCTGGTTGAATGGACATGAGGAATCAGAGGTGGAAAGGAGGAATGTGCTGTCACAGTATGGGGTGAGCAATTAGGGTCACATAACAATGTATGTATAAATTTTTGTATAGGAAAAATAAAAAAAATTATTACAAACATTTAAGTAAAGGGTACTAGATTCGAAGAGAATATTTCCAAAGAACAGATTTTGCTCTCAAGATAGACACTGCCTAGAGTTCTGGAAGAGAATAAAGTTAACAAGCACATATTCTCCACCAAATGCTTTCCCTTGGACTCCCTAACTCCAGGGTCTAATCAACCACAGAGCCAGCAGAGTGTACCAGGTTGGCCTTACCAAGCCTCATAGTGAGAATCAATGCCCTTGAAAACGGGGAGAAATATCCATGCATCTGGGATTTAACCGTACAAAACCAAAATCCATTGCCATTGAGTCGATTCCGACTCATAATTAATTGTCCTCAGTCTGGAAGGTCTTCCGAACGAAAACACAATATAAGAACAAAAGGTTCAAAATTATTTCTGAGTGTGTGTCAAAGCATTAGTTATTTATTATTCATATTATTCTCATTGAGAACACAGCAGTAAAACAAAAGAGCTGTTTCTAAATGCATTTGAATAGGAATTTATATAGTTATTATGAGAAGGAATGCCAAAAAAATTTCTAAATCATAATGTTTGTCATTCTATATGCAATACATTCACACTACCTACATACAATAAATTCATATTGCCAGCTATAAATTTTTAATAACTTATAACTCAATGACTTACAACCTTATGCTATAAATAGTTGCTAATTCTTAGTGTCAAAGAATAAAATAAAGACCACCAGAGCATTAAAGAAAGCTGAGTTTATTAACTATTACGCTAGGGGACACACGCCAGTGAAGAAATACACCAAGCAGTTCGCTGAGGGGGAGAGTTCATGGGAAGTTATTGAAAGGGCACCCATGATGGGTAAGTTAATGAAAGGTGGAAAACTTGCATTTTGGCAAGATAGAACCAGGCCATAGGTCTGTACAAAGTTTGTTAAACTAATTTGCATTCTTTGCTGGTCAGGAAAACATTCAGTTATGTCCTGGTCCTAAACCAGAATCTCTCCAAGTTCTTTGACACTTATTAATTTTATGTCACTCAAAGTTTCTGGTCATTTAACAACTTCTGCTAACAGGATCATTGGGGTGAAATACAACACTCAGTTGCAATATATCTTAGGCAGATGATGTTATAAAGGAAAATTTTGCTTTTACATTTGGAAATTTATAGTGACAGCAAAGATATCTTCCCTGTGAGTTCCAGATGATGATCAGTTAAGCTAATTTGAGAATCCTTTAGCATGAAATAGTAATAATATTAAATAACAATAATAAACCAAGCAATAATCATTTTGCCTTTTCCCAAGTTTGAGATAATTTCTTTCTTTCATTTCATAAATATAACAAAATTTTAATTTAGTCAAGCAATGGCCTTGAAAATATTTGAAGTGAAATATCTGATTTGTTGGAATGTTAGCTTTCCCAGTAGCTAATTCTCATCTTAGTGGTCATTCCTCCAAAATGAAATAATTGAATCAGATTTAAATGTCCGCTTCTCACCCTGCACTTGGGTTTGGAACTTATTTTGGTTCCAGTGTTGTCTGCAATTGAGCAGGAACTCAACAGAGAGGGACTATGTCTCTCCTCATGCCTTTGGTCATGCCTGGGGACTGAAATCCAGCCACTGGGATTGAATAGAAGCCACTGGGATTGAATCTCTTGTGCCTCTAGTGGGTAATAGCTGGCACAGATTTAATGTTATAAATATCTACAATTTTGTAGATAATTGGTGTTAATCGCAGCATTGTTTACAACATAAAAAACTGGCAATAACCACTAATACATCGATTGGGTGAAAATAATCATTATGTGATTATATAATGGAGTATTATACATCCATCAGTAATGATGTTGAGAAAAAGTATTTAATGGCGTAGAAAGACATATGTGTACAGGCTGATCCCCTTTTGGATTTTTTTTTTTTTGAACTAGTGGGTACGTGGGTGTGTTTGTGTGTGTTCACAGAGCAATGACTGCAAAGGTATATATCAAAATATAGGTGGTGATTATGTACGGGTAGTAGGGTTCTGGGTTATTTAATGTTTTTATTTTTTATTTGTACTCTGTAATTTTTAATAACAATACTATAATAGATGTTCAGACAAGCACATGTTACTTAATGTTTGACACTGAAAGCACAACGACAGATGATAAGCCTCTGTAAACTAGTTTTTTTTCCTTCATATATCTTGACACAGTTCTGAGACCCTGATTGAAGGCTGTTTAGTTCCTCTTCTTGAACAGCTGAATAAGTCCGTCCTCCAACACACTCCGGGGCCACTCTGCACCTGCCTTAATTGTCCCTGGGACAGGCACCCAACAGGTAGGGACAACCCCTATGCCCTCTGAGTCTACAGAATTATTCAAAATACCCAATCCCCAGGAAATTTGAGAAACTTAGCTAACCCCACCCTGCTTGCCATACATAAGAGGTCTCTTAGAATCTCAGCTTGCGGTTACCTTGTCCTCAGGGGAACCCCCCTGTGTGGCCCTGAATCATGGCAGAGTATGTTGTCCCCAGGGAAATGTGAGTATAAGGAATTTCTTTTTTCATGACAGTTGTTTCCAGGTCTGCGTGTCTTACCTCACCTGATAATCCCGGGAATTTTAAAACAGTCTCTGACTATGAGAGTAATGGAAATAATTTGATGTCCTTTCCAGATAAATGAATTTTTAGGTAGTTCGACAAACACAAGAGCAAAGGATTAAGGAATATTAATGAAGACGATTCCCATGAAGGATAGAAATGATGTCCCTCATGTGAACAAAAGGAGATGGGTCTCTTATTCTTCTACACAGCACTGAGAGTTCACAGGACGTTGAAGAGCAAAGATGTTCATTGTGCTCAATCATCAGTAATAGCCACCAACACTGCACAATATGTTACTAAAATCTGGTTTAATTGTATCCTATCCGTTCTAGAGAGGAACAAAATAAGGTCCAGGAAGGTTCATTAGTTAGCCATCAGGAGTGGAATTAGCCCACCACCTCTCTGTCAATTTGTCATACTGTGGCAGCTTGCATGTTGCTATGATGCTGGAAGCTTTGCCACTGGTATTTCAAATACCAAGAACATCATCCATAGTAGACAGGTTTCAGTGGAGCTTCCAGACTAAGACACCCTAGGAAAAAAGCTCTGATGATCTACTTTTGAAAATTAGCCTATGAAAACCCTGTGGCTCACAACAGAATATTGTCTGATACAGTGGTAGAAGATGAGCCCCTTGAGCTCAAAGGCACTCAAAATACATAGTGGCTGCAACGATGGACTCAAGCATACCAGCAATCGTGAAGATGGGGAAGGATCAGACAACTTCTGGTTCTATTGTACATGGGGTTGCCAGGAGTCAGAGTTGACTTGAAAGCAAGTAACAACAAGTGGAATTAAACTCTTGGCCTATTTCCCGTTGATTCATGGTAGTGTGGGACAGAGGGAGGTAAAGATGCTGAGTAAACTGGTAACTTCTTTTGTTTATCCACACATCCATCACTTAATATCTGGGGTCCAAGCATGCTAGCTAATTGAGTGTTTGTGGATTGATGAGTTTATTTGTGAGTAATCAGAATAAGAGAAAAAGTAGTTTATTGCAGTGGTTCTCAAACTTTAGCAGCCTCAGGAGGGATTGCTAAGGCAGATTCTTAGGACCCAGCTACAGAATTTCTGATTCAGCTGTTCTGAGCTGGGGCCTGAGAATTTACATTTCCAACAAGTTCTTGTGGTGCAGTAGTTATGAGCTATGGCTGCTAACCAAAAGTTCAGCAGTTCAAATCCACTAGCTGCTCCTCGGAAACCCTATGGGGCAGTTCTACCCTATAGGGTCGCTATGAGTCGGAATTGACTTGATGGCAGTGGGTTTGGCTTGGCTTTTTTGAAGTTTGTAAAGCAGTGGTTTGGTACACAAATTCTCAAATGTGAATTAAAGAATAAACCTCAAATTTGGCATTCCCTGTTGCAAATATGTTTTTCTCAAGTTTATGATTGAAGGAGCCCTGGCGGTACAGTGGTTAAGAGCTTGGCTGCTAACCAAAAGGTTGACAATTCAAGTCCACCAGCTGCTCCTTGGAAACCCTATGGGGCCGCTGTACTCTGTCCTATAGGGTTGCTATGAGTTGGAGTCGACATGACCACAACTGGTTTATGACTGATAAATACAATGATAACAAAAAACTTGCAAATTATTATAAAGTACTTCAGACCCCTGGTCTTGCTTCTGCTGAGCAGTAACTCAATCTTCCTTCATCCTCCACATCTGGAAAAAAAAAAAAAGACTTGGAGTAGATGAGCGTATCCTGAGTTCAGCAAATCAATTTCATGTTGCTTGGAAACTCAGGAAAACCAGCCAACTGTTCACAGCACGGGATGAGAGTCGTAATGAATAAGGTATTTCATTCCCACAACATCAAAAGCTCAGAATTAGCTGTTAGCTAACCTCCAGATACTGCAGCAGTGAAATTATCACTATGGCCAGCTTGCTCTCTGTGGCTCCGGGGAGTGGTGTAAGGAGGATGTGGGGTCACAAGACAGTGAAGATGCGTCTGTTAGGTCCTGTCTCTTTCTGCATTGTAAAATTGGCCTCGGAGTTGACAGCCAGTGAAGACTTGCTTCTTTGCAACCTCAAGTAACTGCCACTATCTTACAATTTCATATTTTCTTCCCTCCCTTGTCTATTAACATATTAGAGCTCTGAGGAAAGGCCATTTATTTTAGATTACATTTTCACAGCCAGAGAAAAGAAATGAATTTTATTTCTAACTTAGTTCTTCTCTTAAGAACAGACTTTCTCCCGGTGTGTTTGTGGGAGGTTAAAGTATTGGGAACCTTGAGATCTCAGATTTCCTAGGAATAGGGAAGTCTAGTCTTCCAATCCTGGAACTGCCTTGAAAGTAAAGCGAACCCAGAGAGTCAGTAAATTTGCTCTTTCGTGTTTTAGACTGATATTTTTCACACTCTGCAGACATGCATGCACACACGCAAAAGCACATGCACATATGCATGCACACACACACACCATACACTTTTCTTTTCCCCTCCCCTGCAGCAAGTTTCCTTCCTTCTCTACTATGCCCCATACCCTGTCATTTTGTGGTTGGGAGGAACATAGGCCAGTGGTCAGATGTAACCTCCTGCTTCTCATTGCGCCCTTCTGTTGTTGCCTTGGCCAAGTACTGCCCAAAGGGAAGCGAAATCCAGGAGCTGAGTGAAGGAGTCACAGTGGAAGGATGGGAAATTGTCTCCGGAGAGAACTCAGGTGAGTCCTGACTCTGAATACTGCCTTTGTTGGGAAAAGGGCACGGGATGAAGAGGCTGAATTTTATGCATGTATCATGGTCGGAGCAGGGCATGTTTTAAGAAGGCTAATCTTAAAGACTACATCATCTAAGGGGCAGACAGGGATTTCCAGTTCACTCTCTCTTCTAACTTATTTTGGGACTATAGTAGGGTTGTCAGATTTAGCAAATAAACGTACCACAGTATTTCATGGGGGCATACTTAAACTTAAAAAAAAAGTTATTTGTCTAAAATTCAAATTTAATGGGACATCCTATATTTTATCTGGCAACTCTAGAATATTCATCAGCTTCAGGGAATCAGTATGAGAATGAACAATCAGGTTTCTGAAAAATTTGACTTGAAATCTCTGAGGGCAAATGCAAAATGTGCATTCAAAGGCTTTTCATTTAGGCTGTGTCTTTACTTGTTGACCTATAGCCCTAGTCTCTTCAAATGCTTTCTAAGTTGTAGAACAGATAACAGGGATTATTATTTTTGAATCTTGTTTAAATCTTAAATGACTGTCTCTCTGACCTACAGCACTCCACTCCCCAAGTACTCACCCACACCCCCTTCAGACAGTCTTCTATATAGTATTACCAGATTAATCTACCTAAGGAGAAACTCTGTTCGCATTACTCCGGTGTTCCAGTGGGCACATCCATTCCTCATCAGCTAAAATCCAAAGTTTAGGCTCCTTGGTTTAATTTTAAAGTCCTCCATATTCTGTTTTAATCACTCCTTTCTTCTTGTTCTCTTATCATTTTGAGCATTGCCTCCATCTTGCTTAGCGTCCAGCCTGTAATCATCTACTACTGAAATCGTCTTCCCAGGTCAAGTATTTTGCTTTGAGTGTATCTCTGAAGCCCCTGTCCTCTCCCAGAGTTTAGCACAAAGCCGTGATTTGAAGAGTGTGAGCTTAATTTGTTTGGATAAATACACCTTTCTGCCCTTTCTGCCATAAGTGTATTTTTTGGGCTTTATACCCTCTTCAAACTTGACCACTTGCTAATCTTCTTACTTTACAGCCTCTGTACCTTGGCTGGCAGTTCATTCTCATTTATCTTTACTTGTCAAAATGTTAAGTTCTGCAATGTCCTGTTCAAATGCCACTTCTTTATGATCTCTGCCAAAATTTATTATTTTGACACTCTTAGTTCTCATAGGAAGTTTAGATACACTTATGACCCTTAGCATACTCTGCCCAGTGTCGTGATGACAAGTGTATATGTCGTTTAGATTACTGATTCTTTTACCACAAGGACAGCTTCTTTTATCCTCTGAAATCTCTGATACCTTTGCCTTATGCTCCGCAGAAAGAAGGTTCTTGATAAATGTTTTCTGGCTTACATGAGTAAGCGTGTGTAATTATCATGTAAAATAGTAGAAATAGAGGGTCAAATGATTTGCTTTGGGAAACTGAGAGTTGAAGGAGTTTTCAGTTTTGTGATCATCTCTCTGTAGGTGTTTATTTTTAAATATTCCCAATTAATGGGTTCCCATGTTTTGGTAGAGTTGGCAGTCTCTTGGAGAACAGCCATGATCTCTTATTTTATCAAAGTTAAAGCAGCAAAAGGATGCTGATTCCATTCAGTTGTGTTGCAAATGCAGACATTTAGACTCAGAGAGATGTCAATGTCTCAGTTTGCCAAAATCAATCAGCTGGTTTATAAGTGAGTAAAGACTGAAGGTAGGGACTCCACACTCCAGCCCTGTGTGGTTGCAAGTGACTTTCTAATTCTCCCTCAGTCATTGTTCTCTGCTTAGGCTACTACACCTCACTTTCTGGAGAAATGTGTACTGGGTTTTAGTTCTCTTGTAAAATTCAGACAGCGGAGAAGAGGAACGAAGAAAAGGTTGCTTGAGGAGGTCTCATGGGCATTAATGAACGAAGCCTCCATACATTTTCTTGGTATTTCAAGTCCACGTACTTCAGGGCAGCCAGAGTTGCTGGGCTCAAAGAAACTTTCCAGGCTAGGAAAAATCATTCAACTTATAATGAAACAATGATATTAATGGCTGGTATTTATTGTAGGTTCTCTCTCTGACAGGCACATGGTAACAAGTTCACAGGAATTATCTCATTAAATGTTCATAACTACTCTACAAAGTGGCTATTATTATTATCCCCATTACCTTTGAGGCTTGGATAAAAACAACATAAAATACTAAATTGGTCACATAATTGGATAAATTTACTAATTGGCAATGGGAGATAGTTTATTCCAAATAAATAAAACGTGGGTGCTTTCTGTGAATGGCATGCATGTATCAGTTAGCTTGGGAAGGCAAACTTTAATAACTAAACTATTTAAATAATAGCTATCATTGATCAAAGACCTATTATGCTTCTGCTAAAATACATGCATTATTTCCTTTAATGGTCACAGCAAACCTAGAATCTGGTAATATTATTATCCCCATTTTGGACATAGGGAAATTGAGACAGAGAGACAAGGAAACTCTTCCAGGGTCGCACAAAGAGCAGGGGGGCAGGATTAATACAAGCAATGCTAAAGAGCAAGGACTTAACTACCACCCTAAACACTGACTTTCTCTTTAGATGAAGTGTGATGACAAAGTGGGAAACCACCTCCAAAGCTAGGTACCCTTGGCTTCAGGAATATTGCAACCCAGCAAGGGAAAGCCTGTGTGTACGGAAGGGACAGAATCAGCCTACAGCATAGAGATGGTAAAGCCAAGAAGCAGGACCTTCAGAGTGTATATCTCACCTTGTCCTGGGAGCAGAAATTCAAGGCATGTGAAGAAGATCAAAGAAGCCAACTCCACCTGCCAGCCCATGGACATGGATTATACCAGACCTAACTCTTCTGTGTACTGCCGACACTGTGGCTAACACATTTTACAGCCAGTGTCCTCAAGGAGTTTGTATTATAACACAGGGAGGCAAACATCAAAGCACATACAAGTTAATAAATAAATGATAGCAATGATAAACTGATGCAAGAAAGGTAATAAGAGAGTTATATTTGTGATAAAATAGAGATAATTAACCTGACTTAATAATTTCCTGTCTGAACCAATTATCAGAAACTATCCAATTCCCTTTATTTCTGATTGTATGATCTCCAAGTAGAAGATGAAGTTGAAAATGAAGTTTGGGATTTGATGATGAAGGATTTTCAAAAGCACATAAGAAGTGATGAAGCAGTATCCTTGTATGGGTTCAAGAATGATTGATAAATTCTATATTTGTCTTCATGTGTAAGGTTGAATGGCAGAGACAGACAAAGTTAAGGAGCTCTTTAAGTATTTCAAGCAAGGGTTGATGACTAGCTGAAATTCAGCAGGGGCCACAAAAATAAAAAGGAGGTTCAGTGAAAGTAACTGTATTTCAAATGTTTCATCTTGAAGTTTTTCAGTCATATAGATCACAGATGGGTTGTTAGAGAAGGTTAAAATTATTCCCCTTAGTTAAGTTTATACCCCACTGCTCTCTGGTACCTTTCCATCATTAGAGAATCTTGGAGTATACTGTATACCCCCTGAGGAGTGTGTGGTATGGAGGCAGCGAGAGAAGCAATCAGTCTTAGTGGTCACTCAACATTTCCAACTTCCTCCTGCAACTGTCAAATACGTCCACATCAAATCTACCAGATGGAGGAAACTGAAATGATAAGAAACAGCATCCACCCAGCCGGTGAATCACTTCCCTTTCTCTGTGATAGCATGTTTAACTCTCTCCAGATCCAGTAGTTACCCAAAAGCAACATCTATAAGACTTATGCCAGGTTTTCCTGATTTTACTCTCCGTCACTCTAGCCCAATGATGTTGAAGGGAAAAGGGAAACGGCATTTATCTAAAGTATGCAGTCCTTGGGTGGTGCAAATCGTTAATGCTGTCAGTTGCCAAAGTTGGAGGTTTGAGTCCAGTCAGAAGCATCTTGGAGGAAAGGCTGGGTGATCTACTTCTGAAAAATCAGTCACTGAAAACCCTAGAGAGCACGGTTCTACTCTGACACACATGGGGTGGCCATGAGTTGGAATTGACTCGGTGGCCGCCTGTTTAAAGTATGACAAGCACGTCATGCAGCTGAATTTCATGTAAACTGGGGATAACAGCACTAACGGAGGAAGCGTCGTTATCCCCATTTCGCGAGTTATGGAAGCTAGGGTAAGAGGGGTTCAGTCTCAAGGTGAAAAGAGGTAGTTTGATCTGACTAGTCATGAACCAAGCTGGGCTAATCTCGTTTCCTCATGGGTCTTTGACTCTTTCTTCCCTACAGTCTACCTGCAATGCTACTGTTGCAGTCATATTTCAGACCCTTAATAAGGGCATTACCACTCTTCTGCTTCAAAATATCTGAAGAATTTTCACGACAATGTCATAAAATCCAAACTCTTTCCATGAACACCAGCTTCTATCACTTCCCTCGTATTTCATATGCACAGCTACACTGTCTTTCCTTCTGTTTTTTAAAAGCACCATACCCTTCCCTGCCTCAGGGACTTTGTCTATGCTCTTCCCTATGATATAGAAGTCTTCTGCCAGAGCTCTGAAGGGCTGCCTCCTTCCCACAATTAGGCTCCAGATCCAATGCCACCTCTTCAGAGAGGCTGTATCTACTCTGTCCCACCTTATTGAAGGTGGCCTGTCCCCTCTCAAAGCCACTCATTGCTATTTTATTATATTCATAGCTAATATAACCGTCTAAAATCATATTGTGTATTTCTTTTTTTTATTTTATTTATGCTGTCTGTTTTTCCTTGGAGATTTATAGTTTCATGAAGATCTGTACCCTGTCCGTCTTGTTAATCTTTGAGCCCTAGTAACTAAAAGTAAATAATAATGGTACTCAATAAAACTTTGTTAAACAAATGGGTCTGTCTATCTATCTATCTGCACTGTGTGTGTACGTTCACATCACAAACACAAGACAACTAACAATAATGGGGCAATTAATAGTGACACAAAATAAACCTATTAATTATACATTTATGGGTTTATAGTTCTTAACCATCTTATATATCTTATGATCTCTAGATAATGTAGTTTTTCAAATATGATCCTTTTAAGGAAGCATCAATAATGGAAAATGTATACACCCACTCCTCACTTATCTATATGGTTAGGTTCCAAAGACCAGGTCGTTGTGCAAAAATCAGCATTATGCAAAAATGGAGGATGACCACATCAGATGACTACATCATTACATAACTGCCAAATTACATCATTACATCATTACATAACTGCCATCATGGCCCAGCCAAGGTGACACACAGCCTTAACCATCACGGCCAGCGTTACTCTCGTCTCGCACTTGACATTCGTTACTGCCAGACATATGTCGTTAATGCATAAAATAGTCAGATAGTAGATTCTTTACTATTGTAGTAAATGTGAAACATAGGATAACATAGTTGATAAGTGAGGAGTAGGTGTATTGCACTTGGTGGAATTAAACCCGGCTCAAATTTTATCAAGCAGCGTGGGCTTAGAACTTCTCTTTTGGAGAAATTACATCTCCATAATTGTTTATAGAGAAGTCATCATCCATTGCCTCTCAGGGCTAAAGTAATACAATTAAAATCTTGAGCATTCCGCAGAGAATAGGGTTCTAGTCTGCTCCTATGTTCAGAAAGAAAGCCGTATTAATCCGAATAAAGAAAAGCAAAATGGGTCCCACGCAGGAATGTATTCAGCAACCCATCATTCTGCATTACCTTTAAGAGTGTGTTTGGGACAAACTCTGTTCCAGGCGTTAAAGACTGAATACACTTAAAATGAAATTCCAGGGGCTGAGATAGATGAACTTTCCACATGATATGATGATCATATCAACTTCTTCCCTTTAGTCTCTTTAATTAAAATTAAGCAAAGGTGGAATTTAACAATAGTCAGGTGATGCCTTTCTGCCTTACAGGAACAGAAGGAAAGACTATCAAAAAACCAAACTTGTTGCTGTCGAGTTGATTCAGACTCATAGTGACCTTATAGGACAGAGTAGAACTGCCCCATAGGATTTCCAAGGCTGTAGTCTTTACAGAAGCAGACTGCCACATCTTTCTCCTGTGGAGTGGCTGGTGGGTTGGAAATGTCAGCCTTTTGGTTAGCAGCTGAATGTTTAACCACTGGGCCACCAGGACTTCTAAAGAAAGAATAGGCTAGGGATTTTCCAAAAAGCTATTCTTAGTGACTATTGATAAAGAGGAAGCCCCTCAAGGAGATGGATTGGCACAGTGGCTTCAACAATGGGTTCAAACATAGCAACAATTGTGAGGATGACACAGGACTGGGCAGTGTTTCGTTCTGTCGTACATAGGGGTCTCTAGGAGTCAGAAAAACTGGACGGCATCTAACAACAACAGTAAACATTGAAAGTATTTCGCATTGCCA